AAGAAAAAATATGAGAAAAGGGAAAAAATGGAAACAAAATCTTTGCAAATAAGGAAGGGTGGAGGGGGTGAAAGGAGGGCAGGGGAAGGGGAAAAGAATAAGAACCAAGATACTCATGTAATGGTACAAGATCCCAATGATGTATGTAACTGTATTTTATAACTAAAATGTACCAATAAACTTACTGGGGAAAAAAAAGTAAAAGGTAATAGACTAAAGGAAACATAGATTCCACACAGGGCCAGAACAAACATTAATGCTATTAACAGTGCTAATAATATTTATTAAATACTGTTGTGTACAATATACTCTTAAGTTTTGTGATAGAATGTGTCCTTGATGATTGTATTGTTCCACATGTACAATGCCCTAACCGTGTTCATTAAAGAATGGGCATATTTTTTGCTTTAAAAGGGTTTTCAATATGAGCAGTGGCTATGCATGTTGTACAATTCTTGAAGCAGATTTAGGATCAATTTCTCAAGAATTTAATGAGCCCTATCAGGAACAAGTATTCTGAGGAAAATAAATGATGATATTCTTGCCTTCAAGTTAGCTATAATCTACTTGAATCGAAAATATGCAATATTATAGTTATGTGTTAATTTATGGGGTACATAAAATAAATGTTCAGGAGACAAATATGAACCATTGTTCTACTACTACTATTACTACTACTACTACTACTTTAGACAGCATTTCTGGTTTATTAGGTACTGTTCTGAGCTTTAGTTAGGGCAACTTATATAAAGCTTAACCTTAGCTATGTTCCATTATTATGATAATTTTTCAGATAATTAAGTCACTTGCCTGTGATCACACAGTTAGTATGTGGCAGAGTTGAGCTCTATGTTCTTAACTAGAGGGATAAAAATACTTAATATAAGAAGAAGGCACTGAGCTAAGTCTGAAGGAGAGAGCAAAGAGGAGAGGGTCTTCAGAGTGAGAAGTAGGACTTGATCAAAAGCAGAAATAAGTTCAAAAGTGTGAAATTGGGGAGTTTTGGGAAGATTAGGTTCCAGGCAGGATAGTATTCAACAATGGAAGGTCTTAAATCTTTCTTTCTTTTTTTGGTACCACGGAGGATCAAACTCAGGTTCTTCTGCTTACGAGGCAGGCGCTGGAACCACTGAGCTACAACCCCAGCTAAAGGTCTTAAATCTTAACAAGGTAGAAGCTTAATTCTAACGCAGTTCATGCAGTAAGATTTAGGGTGGTACTCTGAATCAGATGGTGGTTCCCAATCATTTTTGCCTAAGCTTAGGGTCACAAGTTACACAGAAGAAAAGATAACGATTGGCCCTTTCCTAAGAGTCAACTCTCCAGCATTTGCCAATATTTCTGAGTTTGACATTAATTTACTGGTATCCCTTGATTAGAAAAATAGATTAAACAGCAGAAGTGGCACCAATTATCAACTATACTTTGGCCCTACAACACAGTTAAGAAAAACAAATGTCCAATTATCACTAGAAGTTATGAGTTGTAAAGGGTGCAATTAAATGCCAAGTTGACATATATTTTATCATATGGATTCATCTTAAAAAGAATCTAAGGCAGTGTTTCAAAACTGTTTATATATAATAATAACATATTTAACTTGTAAAATACACATTATTGGGTCTATGGAACCAGGTTTTTGATTCAGTAGATTTGGGGCCTGATATTATGTACTTTATTTAAATACAATAGAATCAGAAGATTCTGATGCAGGTAAATCTAAACACCAAATTGAAACAAAGTACACAGAAATTCTGAAAAAGTTCTAAATATGGTTTATTCATATCAGTTATCTTTCCCTATTATATAATTTTAAAAATGTTATTCCAATTAAAAAACCATGAAACCAGATCAGTCCTGAACTCATCTATTAAAATATCTACACTCATAATATTCCTGGTAAACAAAATGGAGTAGCAATGTGTCACCCTTTAATAACCATAGTTTGTATATTCACTTCATTTTTAAATATCATTGATAATGTTAGATGTAAAGTTTTTTGATTTTTAAGGGTAATTTTTGCTACCCTATTTGTGTGAACAAATATACCATAACTGAAGGTCATGAAACTTCATCATATGTATAATAATCACATAATTAGTTATGAAGTCATTTGTCTATTATAAGAACTTCTGGTTTTCAATTATCCCCTTTTAAAATGCCATACTCATAAAATAGTTCAGAGAAAAACAATAAATATTTTGAATAAAACTTATCATTATATATTGCATATTTTAAATCATGGCTAAAAATATAACAAACAAAACTCTAAGCTATTCTGAACAGAAAATAGAGAAACAAAGGTTTATGAAACTATGATTAAAAATGTTTCCACTTAAGTAAAATAGTGGCAATATTCAAAGAGAATGTTCATCATAAGTGAAACAGTAAGACTATTCAACAAGCATTTGGATGGAAATTATATTATAAATCGGGCAAAGGTAAATTATATTTACTAAATTAATGCTTTGCAATCACTTAGGTCCCCTGAGGCAAGCATTATTGGCATCACTTCACACTGTTTGGAACCTTCATTAAAACAGATATGAGATAAAATGTTTTATTTCACTAATTTTGCTGACATTTTAAAATGAGAAAACTCCCAAGATATCTATGATTTCCAAAGAAGCAAATTAAGGGATCTCTTTGGGGTACTATTAACAGTGGCACACAATGTTGTAGGCTCCTATTTTTCAGGGAATATGTCATTATAGATAAAAACCAGTTTTGCCCAAATTATATCAAATATACAAGCATGGAAATATTATTACTAATAAATAAGATCAATACCCAAGGGGACCTGTTAACAATTCACAGTCAGATTACAAGGGGCAGAACATTCCCAGACCCCAGAGTCCATGATACCTCTCAGTCTGGAACCTCTTCTGAGTTTCTCAGAGGGCTCAGGGAGAAATACTGTACTGCTGAGTGTATGGGACCAAAGCAAAGATCAGAAGTCTAGAAGTTCCATTAAACTTTCAAATAAACCATTTGTTTTAAGCCAGTATCTACCCATACTCTATCATTTTCAGCGTTAGTGGTTCCCTACGCAACTAATTCCTCTGCTTTTCGGGAGTTTTTCACTTTTTAAGGTTAAATTCTAGATGATTCAGCCTCTGCCACTACTGTTCTACAGACACTTAGGTTGTCTTCCCTTTGTTCTGCTAAGTCACCATTCTTCCATTTCTTCCATGTCTTCATAGTTTGTGTGATAAACTTCAGATGGCTACTAGCTTCACTAAACATGGAGCAAGTTTCTGTTTTGGGCTGGGTGTTTTTCAAAATTAGGGTAGGGTAGAGTGGAAATGACTTCTTTCATCTCAAACCTATCTTGGATACTTGATTACTACAATTTCATTATTAAGTTGACATTAAGAAATATTAACAATAGGGTAGAAAAATTTAAATTCATCTCTAAAAATAAATCTGTTATTGAGAGTATTTAAACAATCTGACATGTGGAATAGGAAAGCAGAAAGAAACTACAGTATTATCCAAGTCATCTGAAGTTGACCACAGCCTACCCTGCCTGAAATAAAGTTTAAATTAGTAAACCACAAATAATTCAAACCTTCACAAATAGAGTGAACTCTTCCACTTTCTCATTAGATAACAATAGTTTCTTCTGTGCACCTTCTAGAACCTGCTCACTTTGTAGTGCTAATCCTTGAAGCTGCTTAGATGCTGCTGCCTCAATTTCTGTGATTACAGATTCAGTCTCACTTACTTTTGATGCCAGGAGAGTAAGCTTGAACTCCTGCAAAAGATAAAACAAAAAATATTACATAAAAATATTTGGAATCTATCAGAAAAGGAGTGTCTCATTACACTCTGTATTTCTTTTTATTGGACAAAATTAACAATTGTTTTTACTTTCAGTAATACAGAACTATCTCTAATGTTAAACTGATTCTTATTACTTTTTGTAGAGATACAATGTATTTGCAGTTATCTGAAGTTTCTAAGTAGTTAATAGTATTTTGTAGAAAAAAAAGCGGCATTAATGAACAAGACACTATTATATTTCATCTCTAGATTAAAATGGCCTCAATGCATACCTTTTTTTCTAACTGCTCTTTAGTTTTCTGATACATCTGTTCATACTGTGACTTCTCTTTTATAGCAACATTAAGTCTTTGCCTTAGTGAATCAATTAATACTTTTTTATTAGAACATTCTTCAGTTAATGTCTTTACCTACAGTAAAAATATAAAAGTAATTTTTATTGGTAAGGGAATTCTATTGGTAGTAGTATACTGTTTTATCAGAAACTAAATGAATGAATTTAATTCTTATTGCTCATAAATTGCATCAAATTCAATTACATTTGCAGAATGAACCTAACAATCTCGAAATCAATAACAAAAAACAAAATTACACATAAATATATGAATACATATAACAGAGAATAAGTAACAACATTTATTACATATTTCCAAGAATAACAGAAGAAATAGTTTTTCAGTTTAATAGCACCAAACACATCAATATTGATACCTTTTTTTCAAGATTTTCTAACATTTGACTAAAACTTTCATTACTTTCAGAATTTACTTTCTGACGAAATTTCAAGTCCTCTATCAAATGTCTTTTCATAGTTATATCCCTCTCCATTCGAGAAATCCTTGAGAGAAACAAAAGATATTTTATTAAGATAACAGAAAACACATTAAACAGTGGTCATATCTTACATATTATCCAATATTATACCTACTGGTAGGTTTAAAATGCTATCTCATATCAATAAAACTATGAACTATATCTTACGTATTATCCAATATTATCCAATATTATACCTACTGTTAGGTTTAAAATGCTATCTTATATTAATCAAACTATAAACTAGTAAAATAAATGGCATTCATTAAATATCACTCTATTATAATTTAATCATAATTATAATATTGGTATATTATAATTTAAATAAAATATACAATAATAATAATACAAGCTGGTGTGGACCACAGTGGCATGGCTGCAGGAAGGTCCAGCCAGGGCCCCGCCCTGACTGAGGCCTCTTGGGCCCACAGGTCCTAGCCAAAGACTGACCTGGAAAAGAGCTGCACAAGCACACAAGCAATAGCCAGAGGCCCACCCCATACCATCGGTAAGTGCATGCAGACCCTAGCCAGAAGCCCACCCAGACACCAGCTACGGGGGTGCATAGCCCCCAGCCAAAGCCCCTCTCAGATAACAGTTAAGTAGGAGGACAGGCCCTAGCCAGAGGCACACCTAGATACAATCCCAAGTGTGCATAGGCCCCAGCCAGAACCCTGCCCAGACAACAGGACAGCACAGGGATCCAGAAGGCCACCACTCAGAACCCAGGAACTCAGCAGAGAAAAGGCTGCTCAGTGGCTTGCTGAGAAGTGAAGACCACTGGGTGAGCAAAAAGTTGCCTCAACAAAGAAGCAATAGACTGCATCTGTTGAAATGAGAAGACACATAAACAAGTCTCAAAACCAGACTTCCAGATCACCTAAGGTAACCCCAAAGGGCAACAAGATGGAACAATCTGACTCCCTGGACTCACTGAACTGGGAATGAAAGAGGATCTGGAGAAAATAAAATCAGAAATAATTTCTCAGAAAACAACAGAGATTGTGTCCATGGTGCAAGACATGATTAATAAATCTAGAGCAGACACAGATAAAAAAAATAGAGGAGCTGAGGAACATGGTGGAATCCCAACACAGAAAACAAATAGAATCCATAAAACTCATGCAAACAGGCTTCCGGGAGATTAAAAACTCTATTGAAAGTTTACACAGCAGAATGACCCGAAGTGAGGAGAGAATTTCAGATACAGAAGACAGGATTGCAATTAGTGGCCAAGAAAAGAAAAATTTCTTAAAAACAGTAAGGGACAATGAGAAATCAATCCAGCAGCTGCTAGATGATGCAGCGAAGAATAACATAACACTGATCACAGTCAATGAAGAAACAGGAGAGAGTGCAAATGACATAAAAAAAACTGTTCACAGAAGTAATGGCAGAAAAAATTCCCAAGCAGGGAAAAAGAACTTGACATACAGATAAGTGAGGCATATAGGACTCCAACTAGCAATAATCAAAACAATCTACACCTAGGGATACAATAGTTAAGATATCAGAAACCCAACAGAAGAATAAAATTCTACAAGCAGTTAGAAAAAAGAAACAAATCACATACAAAGAAAAGCCCATCAGAATCACTGCAGACTTCTCAATACAAACCCTCAAGGCAAGAAGACCCTGGAGTGACATATTTCAAGCCCTAAAAGAAAACAACGTCCAATTCTGAAAAACTATCTTTCAAAATTGATGGAGAAATAAGATACTTTCATGACAAAGAGCACCTGAGGAACTTCATAAATACCAAACCAGTACTCCAAAAAATTTTAAACAATATCCTTGGAAAAAACAATGAGGATCACAACCCTAGGAAGCCCAGCAGAATGAATCCATCAGGCACGACAATAAATTAAATGCAAGGGGGGGACCAACAAAAAGAAAAAGTTATGACAAGAAGTCAACACGCATCAGTTATAACCATCAGTGTTAATGGTCTCAATTCACCAATCAAAACAAATAGACTGGAAGAATGGATCAAGAAGCAAGATCCAACAATATGCTGCATACATAAAACACACTTAATTCAAAAAGAAACTCATAGACTGAAAGT